TTCCATTTTTCATTGTCCCAAAATATTAGTCCCTTATTCCATTTTTCATTGTCCCAAAATATTAGTCCCTTATTCCATTTTTCATTGTCCCAAAATATTAGTCCCTTATTCCATTTTTCATTGTCCCAAAATATTAGTCCCTTATTCCATTTTTCATTGTCCCAAAATATTAGTCCCTTATTCCATTTTTCATTGTCCCAAAATATTAGTCCCTTATTCCATTTTTCATTGTCCCAAAATATTAGTCCCTTATTAATACTCCCTCCGTCCCAAAATATTAGTCCCTTAGTCCTTTTTCAAAAATCAAGAACTAAAATATTATGAATTTTCTATTTTGCCATTTTTTTTAATTCATTAACATTTATATGCACAAAAAGTATAATTATGACAATTGATGTTCCCAAAAAAAATACACTATTTTGATTTTAAATCAAAAGGTAGTTTTCAAAATTTAATATTTTTGAAATGTAATAATTGTATTACCAAAAAAAGTTAGATTCCGTAAAAAGGATTAATATTTTGGGACGGAGGGAGTATTAGAGTTAGAATGTAAAAATATGTAAAACTATGATTGGGGAGAGAGAGAGAGAGAGAGAGGAGAAGAAGAAGAGAAGAATACATTATATTGAATATATAAACCTAAAACCATTAGCAGATATTTATAAAACACACCACCTCACAATATGACCATAATACCCTCAACTTAACACAAAAATAACATATAACATATAACTATTCTAACAATTAGCTTTGGTGGACACTTGCCTATTTGTTTTTAACTTCACCTAGTATAGGAAATGTATCATATTCTAATATTGTGAATAGGACTTTTAGGTAATTAACCCATTAAAATAGTCATGGATTGACTCAAAGTCCCAAACTAAAGGCAAAGGGCCCCAAAAAGACAAAACAAAAAAAAAAAAATCTCAGCAACTAAAGAAACAAAGGAGGGCCCACTGTCTATTTGTGCTTTGCTCTTAAACAATAGAGAGAAATCTTGTCGGAGCCCTAAGTTTCCTATAACTAAACTTTTCTGATTATTGTCATTTATGCAAATCTTTCCCAACAAAAAGTCAAACAAATTGCAAACTTGGTTTTTTAAAGATTTTCATTTACGGAAAATAAAATATTTTTAGTCTTTAGATTTTTCATTTGAGATTTGTGATTTTTATATTTTATTTACTGATTTACAATTTTTCCATTCGATATTGTTTATAATTTCAGATTTCATCTTCATAATGAAGAACATGAAGTTATTTATTTATTTATTTTTAAACCGGATTTTACTAAACTATGAAGAAACAAAATGAGGTATTATCTTTTTTAAGTCTGAGTAATGATTTGTTGAGATTTTAGTCTAGGTAACTAAATTTAAGTAATTATATTCAACAAATGTTTTGTGCATATTAGAAAAAAATAAATTTTTTTGAGTAATTATTACTTCATCATTATTTTTTTAGGGTGTGAGATATAAAGGGCCCCAAACTTGAAGGTTCCCTTTGGGCCCCAAAAAGTTGTGGGCCGGCCCTGCTTATGTATGTATCAATGTGGTTGTTTGGGATGTTCTTAAAAACTAGCTTTTTGGCTAAATAAGTCAAAAAGTTAGAAAGCTTGTTTGTCATCAACTAAAAAACCCACTCAACTTCCCAAACACGTAAGCTTTTTGTAGATTCTACAAAAAAAGTCAAAAAAGCCAAAAAACTACAAAAAAGCAAAACCCAACTAGTAATTTCATATTTAGCTTAATAGTTCGTTTAAACCAACTAGTTAATGAGGATAAAGCATGGTTTTATTTCCAATATGATAGTGCTATAGTCTTTCATAAACAATATAGAAATCTCAATTGGAAAAAATGGATCTAAGCTATGTTACCGAAAATGCTAATACTCTAGTGAATTACGTATTGGTGCACATGTTCTGAAACATGGTACACTTCTGTTCCAAAACAGTAAATTTAGTGATCCAAGGTGTTCCCAAAAGTTTTTTCTAATATACTTCCTTAAATGTTACTTTAGGAGGAAAAAAAATCAAATATAATGAACTAAAATTTAAGATGAGTTAAGTTTTGACAAGACAAAAACATTAACAATGAAAAGAAGAAAAAAAAAACATTTTATTGGATGCATAATAGTTAAAAGAAAATTATTTTAGTACCTTAAATTCTTAAGTATAATATATACTAGTTTACCCTTATCGTACCACATTTTAGAGCATGTGGTGTATCATGTTTCCGTTTCCGTTCCACATACCGGAACAATCCACGTTCCAGTAACATAGGATCTAAGAAAAATGTAAGAAAACTGAAGCTTAAACAGTTTTTGAACAAATTTTTGAAATGATGTTTATATATTTCTTTTTTCTTTATTTGCAGGTTATTTCTGAAATTATTGAAACTTGTCGTGCACATGATTTCACGGATGTAGTGTTTGTTCACGAGCATCGTGGTGTACCAGATGGTATAATTATAAGCCATTTACCTTTTGGTCCAACTGCTTACTTTGCATTACTCAATGTGGTAAGTAGTTCTACTCCCTTTAGTGGCCATTAATTCTTGTTTTTCTCTTTATGCCTCTTGGATTTGGTTACAGTATTATGATCTGTTACTTTCCTATAGGTTACAAGACATGACATTAAGGACAAAAAAGCCATGGGAACAATGCCCGAGGCTTACCCACATTTGATTCTTAACAATTTCTCAACCAAGGTACAATTGTACAGGTCTTTTTCAGTCGGAAATGTTTGACTTTCATCTGAGATAGCCAATAGACATTTAAATGGTTGTCTCATGATTTCAACAAAGATTGCAACAGTGGATGCATTTTAAGTTCAACCACATTCGTGTATGCTTAGGTTGTGATTCAGTGTTTAGCAAGAATCATATCAGAGTTTCTGCACTTATGCTGTTGTATATATAACATAATGGGACACCATAGCTATTGTATGAAGAAAAATGAGTTTTACTGTTTCATACTGAGTTTGTCAGAAAATGGATAGAATATTTTTGAAAACTGGTTAAAGAATTATGGAAGTGAAAATGCATGGAACCTAGATTCTTAGGGGCCCTACCACCCTTCAAATATTTTTTTCTTTCTTACTTTTAGTTTTTGCATGAACTTTTTGTTATGCTCTGAGCTTGATTATCAACCACTAGCAATGTGTTGCCTCTGAATATTTGTGGATCTGCTGATTGCTGATAGCTCGGCCAAAGGACAGCAAACATTTTAAAGTATCTATTTCCAGTGCCCAAGCCTGATACAAAACGTATCATCACTTTTGCCAATCAGTCTGACTATATTTCTTTCAGGTTGGTTGTCTTTTGCATACTTTCACAGATGCTTCTGTTTACTGTTGAATTGATATAAAGTTTAATTTGTGAGAAAGTAAACATCCATGGATGTAATCCTCTACATTATCCATAATGAATTTGCTACTTCACTGATATTGTCCCCTTGGATCTCCAATCTGCATGTCTGCAGTGCTGCTAGTGCACTGTACCTTTATGTCTTTTCTCATTGTTTGGCGTGTTCAAGTCATACTATTTTTAGTATTCTTTTTTTGAGAACTATGGAAGAAATGGAATTTTGTCGTCTTTTCTGTTGAATTTTAATTATGCATGAAGGCACCCCTCTCAATGGAGCTGTTGGTTTTATATCAAATTTAGTTTATTCACTTCAAAACTTAATTTGTCTTAAGAGGAAAAGTTAAATTAAGATTTGATAGGTTATATTTTGATGTTATCAATTAATTATACTGGTATTCTTGACCTCTATTTGCTGTAGTGCTAATTCATCTCTTCCCAGCCATGTATGTAGTGTGTCCCATCATGGGGGACTGGGGGATCTACTGATGTAGTAGAATAAGTGCCTTAAGTGTCAAAAGTCCTTTGTCTAGTGTCATTAGTTTTTGTATTAGGTGTCCATATTAGTTGTGGCTGTTAAGTGGTCTTAGTCTATAAATAGGTGATGTCATAAGAGTCATTGTTATGAGTTTTTTTTATTAAAAGAATATACATATTGATTGGAGCAGAGCTTTGGTTTCTCTAACCCTTCATTAGGGGTTTATCCCCTAATTGGGAATTTGTTCTCTCTCTCAATTGAAATTTGATTTACATTTTGATTGCATTACCTTCATTTAGGTGAAGCATTTAACTGAAAGTTAGGTAATGACTCCCTCTAGCAACAATTTGGGGGGGTATGTGTCAGCCATGTCAAAGTAGTTAATCTGATCTCTCAATTAGGATTGAAGGGGCCAATGATTCCTGAAAACTAGGCCTGTAATGCCCAAAAGAGAGCAATCTGAAACGGCTTCATCAAAGTTGAGCAATTTAAGAAAAAATGTATTGGCAAAGAATCAACAGCGACATGACTCGTTAAATTGCATACCCACTTCAAAATCTTGCTTTTTTGGTCTTCCATTAGTTAAGCCCAGCGTCGTAGTTGCTGTTTTCTCTCCTCTTCGTGTTGCTCTTGCATCTGCATTTTTTATGTGACCCACTGATGTTCTTGTCAAACAGGTTGCTTTCATTCTCAAATGCCTTTAGAAGCTTTAAGAAATTGCATCTCTCATATTATTTGTCAATCTAACTTTTAGCAAAAGCTAATAAGAGGAGAATGGTTTACCATTCTTTGAAGAGCTTCAAAGAGTGCTGGCCTTGAATGTAACTGAATCCAAGTTCTCATCGTAGATGACTGAGAAATGTTGTAAAGCAAGATTTGTAACGCCCTCAGAATAATACAAAATACCCAACATTGTAGACATGCATTGATACAAAAGAAATCAACCATTTCTATTCATCAGAGTAATTCTTACAACTGTATTACATGTTAACAACAAAAGCAAATGCCCTATGGGCTACAACTTTCCAAGTTAACACTTGGTTACAACAAAAAAAGAGTACTAACTCAATACATATTAAGCCCTTGGCTTGAATTTACAAGTAATACATCAAAATAAACAAAAGAGTCTTCAACTCTCATCCTCACCCAAGCTATGTCCTTGGAGGTGGCATACTACCTGTACCTGAAAATAATGTCCCATAAAGGGTGAGCCAACGCCCAGTAGAGATATGCTAAACACAGTATAAGCAATAACTAAGACATTAGCAATTGATCAATGTTCAATTTTCATAAACCAATTCATAACCCATTTCCATTTCATGACCACTATGTTCATATTCCATTTCAGTTTCCATTTCTTATCAATTTCACAGTTTACATCAATGGGTCAGAACCTGGCCAACAGCTTATATGAGACAATGACTCATATTAAACACATCCCATTTTACAATAGATAAACATATTAGTTGTATCAACATCTCAACAGATAAGCATACAAGTTGTATCCACATTTCAACAGGTATGCATATTAACAATATCAACACTTCCAATGACAAGCATATGAGCTGTATCAACACTTCCAAAGATAAGCATATGAGCTGTATCATCACATTATTTGACAAGCATATGAGCTGTATCAGTGGAGTCCATCCCCTATCTCCTCCCAAACAACATCTGGTTTAGAGGTACATCCCCTATCTTCCCCTAAACCGTGGAGTACATCCCCTATCTCCTCCCACACACACAACATATATACACAAAGGTCATGTACGTAATCAATCAATACATAACATTAATGTATTCTATCAACCGTCATACTCTATGACATATCCAATTGATTAGTTTTAGTTTGCCTAATCATCATGCATGTCTACAATGTTGGGTATTTTGTATTATTCTGAGGGCGTTACAAGATTGGTGTCATCTAACCTTGCAGTACACTCAAGGCATTGTCATCTAAATTCTCTCAAGTCCCTTTACATTTTAATAGGTTTTGAACAGATAGGGAGTTTGGCACTAAATCAAATGTTTGGTTGTGTTTTTATTTGTTTGGAAGTACAGAAAAATTGTTTGGTGAAATGTTTCCAATTTGTTTAAAAAAAATAAAAATATAAAGTCACTGTTTTAAAAATTACCAAAAGTTTTTCAATTTTCGAAAAAGTATTTCTACAAAGAAAATAATAATAGTGAGTTTTTTTTTAACTTTGATTATTTTTTATTTTTGGACAACATGAAAAACAAAAAAAGAAAACCAAAATACAACCAAACCCACCCTGAGTGTGTTATCAAATCTGATGAATAGGGAAGATTAGAAAAAAAAAAATGAAATCTACTTGTTCTTTAATAGTAGATAAAGCTAAACTGTGCTTTGGGAAAGAATTCTTTAAATATTGAAGGTCAAGATTATAGAGTAGTAGAACCCTTGACCACATTATATGCTAAAAGCTTTTGAAAGTTGGATGCTTCCAAAAGTTATTAATTTGCTAGGAGAGTAGAGAAAAGTAGAATAAACTTATGTATGAGGTGCTTTAAATGAAAGCTCTTTTAAACTTGAAAATCTCATTTATATCTCTGAGACCTTTGTATTTGCCTTCTTTGCTACTTTTCTAAATTAACTGTTTACTTTAGTGGAAGCCTTTTTTTTTTTTTTTTTTTTTTGGATATAATCATAGTTGTCAAATTAAGATTTGAATCATAAATCGAAATGGCCTTTTACTGAATCAGGAATCGAATCAACTCGTGAATTGTAAAGATTCAGTTACTTTTTTTAAATTAAAACCAATAATCAATTAGTACATATTAATGTATGTTTGGGAGGGAAAAGATTAGGTACACACTTTGTCACACCCCAAACCAGGGTATGACCGATCGTGGCCCACAGGGCCTTAGCCCAAGGCACATGTAAGCCTAAATATGAATCCATACACATTGAATAACTACAAAATAGTCCATTAGTAGATAACCAAAGCTCAATCCAGTGTCATACCATAAGTAAAAACGGCAAAACCAACCGTAATCAATACCATCCAAACTTATGGGATATAAACAGTCCACATATCAAAATAATCCTAATTGAACCTCAATAAAAATAAATATAAATATGCACAAACTTGACATAACAGTCTAAAACCAATTAAATGAATGTCCTAGAGATCCATGCAATTGAGTCCCCGTTATGCCATGAGTCCACTCTAAATCCTTCTAACACCTGGAAATGGTAAACAACTAAGTCAGCTGATAGCTCTGTGAGTAGCAACATGGATAGTATATACAGTTATGAAAACAGGGGTCAATTCCAAAATAAGACATATATCACAGAAACTAGATTGGCATACAGTTTGGTAAAGAGAATCTGTTTCAAAAGGAAGGTTGTACAGTTCAATAGTTAAAATATTCATGTCTCTCAAGAACATGATAAATGACATTTTTTACTTAAAACAGATTACAACATGAACACTTTGCTTGGTTGTGTTTTTTCAAAAACACTTTTCAGAAAATTCTACTTTCTTATTTTCCGTGTTTTTTTTTTATTTTTACTAAATTTTTTAAATATTTTAAGCAATTCTTTTTACTTTTTAGACATACCTAACATAAATATACCTAAAAAGTAAAAAAATTGTGAAAAAAAACCTTTTAAAAATTCGCTAAATACCAAAAATACAAAAAAAAAAAAAACGAGAATTCAGTACATTTTTTGTATTTTTATGTATTTATTATATTTTAAAAATATTTTTTCACAAATTTTTTACTTTTTAGATACATCTAAGTAAGGTGCATCTAAAAAAGTAAAAAAAAAAATTAAAATTTTAAAAATATTCACTAAAAACAAAAAGAGACGAAAACCAAAAAACTGAGTTTTCAAAAAACTTAATTCAAAAAACTCAAACCAAACACACTTTTCTAAGTACCAAGAAATAACAAGTAACATGCCACACAGTTCTCAAGGTTATATGCCCCGTTGGATCAAATACCAAACTAAGAATCATCCTCAGGGTGGCAACTTGGGCCTTTTCTCTAAGACGATCCGATTGAGGTCACCTAGCTTAACTTAGGTCTTTTCCTTTCAATCGTTGAGCACTAGAGTCATCACGGCCCAACCCGGATCTGTTCCCTAGTGGCCAGAGTCACCACACACAGTGGAATAATTTCCCTAGACTAAAATATACAGATGGTCCCAATAATCAATACACATCAGTTTTGCAAAACATGTTAGTCCACCATTATAAACATGAGACCAAAGCAAATAGTTTACAGTATGCCAAGTTTACACATGTTTCAGAAATAATTGGATTGCATTGATAATATAATAATTTATCAAAACAGTTTAGTCACGAAACAACAATTTAATTTTCCAACAGTTTAGGGTAGGGGAACATTTATAAAAATATGTAGGATGAAACTACTCACCTGGAAACGAGATAATGTAATCCTCGAATAGAGTATAAAATTCCAACTAGTGCCCTGAACCAAGTATAAAAACTACACGTCACTACTAATTTAAAAATACTAAAAAATAGGAACTAAGTAACCTCAAACTAAAGCGCACTAACACGGCTCAACCCAACTCACCGTTACTCTTAAATATTACCTAATTTCATGTTCTTCAAGGTCTAAAATAATCCAAGATATGGGTTCCAATCGAAACTTAATTAAAAGTAACCTTAAAATAAAATAGAATTTTAAACTAGTTTTCCCAATCTATTCGCTAACTTTAAAAATTAAAAACCCACTTCACGTTGTTCGAAAAATTCTAAAACCCTCCAGATATCAACTAATATATCCTAAGTTTCAAACTCAAATTGTTTCACTTGGTTTGCTTATAAAAAATAATTATCTACAATTAATTATATTTAAACAGGTTGTTTTCTGCAGCACTTTAAAGAAATTAATGGTTCTCTTAGTATATATGAGCAATCAATGCAAGGACAAAAACTTACGAAACTAGACTCGTAACCAGTTCTAATGACACTAATTTGATAATTTTCGGATTTATAGCCAAAGAGAACAACACTCCCGAACTTACTATTTAAAACCAGTTTTCTTGACAGATTTGAACGCGTCAGTTTATATGGATTTTGACTCCCAAAAATTATGAGAAACTTTAGATATGCAATTCCATATGTAATTAATCTACTGTAAAAATTTCAGTTCAAAATTCATTTGTTTGATATGGTTTCTTGATTTTTAAAGTTTGTGATTCCATACAGAATTTTTGAACTAAGAATTAAACCATTCATTATATATGAATTTAACTCCTCAAATTTCTTAACAGTATATATATATATATATACACAAATTACATACACCTACAACCTCCCTATCAATCAATTAAATCATAAAATAGAATAAGGATAAAGAACAAATATAAAATA